GGCAAACGGCGCAGAGATGCAACTATTCGTGCTTGATGGATGTCCGCATTGCGTCTGCAAAATTGAAGGCGCTATGGCGCGAGGCGTGAACTCTCAATACTCCGCTCGATGCCGCAAAAGAGAAATCGCTCGGAGACGGGAGACATGTTAAAATATGAGAAACCAATTGCGTCTCTCCCATCTTCGACTGTGTTGACACTCGATTTTTCTTTTTTTAAAATTCAAGTTCTCATTCTTTTTTTAGGGTGTATTTGTCTACATTTATCTAAAGCTCGAATACGACCGATACGGCCTGCGGAGTACGTGTTTTTCAGCAAGCCTCAGGTCAGTCTAACCCGGCTCAAAGGTGAAGTGGACTACATTTTGCAATAAGGGATTACAATTGTTGACTAAATTTCGAAACAACGTTTGCCATTAATCTCCCTACGTACGTACGTGCTTTTACGGGTGAGCCAGAATTTGTAGTTCTAATTGCAAAATGAAGTCCAAATAATAATCCTTGTCTCATCACACTGGTGCAAAGCTGAGTCTCAAGCTTCATTTAAGAAATATCTATCATGCCGAAAAAATTTGACAGACTTTTGCGGTTCTCTGAAATATAGGAAAAGTGACATTGTGCCCTTTGATCCTACACACTTCAATTGATGATGAGTCAATTGCCCGTGATTGAATAGCTCTGATGCACCGACCGTTTTCCTCTGACCGAAGTGGAAGTTTTTCATTCGTCAAATTCTTTCCATCCCGTCCACTTGAGTAAAGGAATGGGGTATATGTTCAATTGACTAAGAATAATTCACAAATTGACGAATTAAACCCAAATCAGCCATTATTGCATTTTACATTGCCCAAGTTTTTTCATGTTTCAATTTTTTTAAACGGAGATCCATACTGCGTAACGTTTTTACAGTTTTTTCGAGTTCACCCTAAATTATTCAGAAATTATCGGAACATAGTAGGGTGAGCAGCGTTACACAAGATAACAAAAGAAAAAAGGAGGAGTCAATACGCTGAGAACATGATCATTTTACTTACAATACTTTAGCCGAGTAATTTGAGTAAAATTATCATGTACTCAGCATATTGGCTCCTCCTTTTTTCTTTGGTTATTCAGAAATTGTTCAGACTATTAAAAATGTCGGTGTCGTTTAGTTCCATGTTTAAAAAATTGATAATCAGAAAACGTTCCATTTTTTCACGCTCAAAGGAACTATGTGCTTGTTTGCGTGCAACTTTTAGTATAAATGCATTCAAATCAGACAATGCCTGATGTATTTATGCTGATTTCGGTTCATTCCGTTCAAATTCTGTACTGTCTCTGCCGAACTACATTTGAAAATATTTTTCAAAATAATATATAAAGTGATAACTTTAAAAGCTGACCAACAAACTGCTTTGAAACTTACCATGGATTTACATTTGATTTCGACCGATAAAATTTCAAAACAGAATTTAATTTTTCAAGTTTTCTTGTAGAGCAACGAGACGTAGGATAAGAGCAGGCAACATCGCAGGTAGTTCGGTTGATGGTTAGTGCCAATTTGCCCGAATGAGTTACTGCGGCTTGAACTTTCCTGACCAGACAAACGCCGAAGAGCCAATGTCAGGGAAACGAATGGAACCTTGATACCCCCTCCCCATTCCTTTACTCAAGTGGACGGGATAGAAAGAATTGGACGAATGAAAAACTTCCAATTCGGACACGCCGGAGGGGTCAGAAGAAAATGGTCGGTGCATCAGAGCCATTCAATCACGGGCAATTGACTTATCATCAGTTGAAGTGTGCAGGATTAAAGGGCACAATGTCACTTTTTCTATATTTCAGAGAACCGCAAAGATCTGTCAATTTTTTTCGGCATGATAGATTTTTCTTAAATAAAGCTGGAGACACAGCTTTGCACCATACTGGAAAAAAAAACACATTGGATTTATTTTTTTCGGCATGATAGATTTTTCTTAAATAAAGCTTGAGACATAGCTTTGCACCACACTGGCAAAAAAACACATTGGATTTAGAGTCCAGACTCTTAAAAACATCGACAAGAAAAAATACTCTTGATTCATGCAGATTTGAGCTTAAATCAAGAACCAAGCCTCTTAATTTGAGCGGATTTCCTTTTGATTTAAGCTTAAATCTGATTGAATCAAGAGTCCTTTTTCTTGTCAATGTTTTCAAGAGTCTGGACTCTAGATCCGATGTGTTTTTTCCCAGTGCAGTGTGATGAGACGAGGATTATTATTTGGACTTCATTTTGCAATTAGGAACTACAAATTCTGGCTCACCCGTCAAAGCACGTATGTACGTAGGGAGACAAATGGCACACGTTGTTTCGAAACTCTGTCAACAATTGTAATCCCTTTTTGCAAAATGTAGCCCATTTCACTCTTGAGCCGGGTCAAACTGACCTGAGGCTTGCTGAAAAACACGTACTCCGCAGGTCGTATCGGTCATATTCGAGCTTCAGATAAATGTAGACAAATACACCCTAAAAAAGGAATGAATTATTGAATTTCAAAAAAAGAAAAATCGAGTGTCAACACAGTCGAAGATAGGAGAGACGCAATCTTTCGAATCCGAGCGATTTCTCTATTGCGGCATGGAGCGGAGTATTGAGAGTTCACGCCTCGCGCCATAGCGCCTTCAATTTTGCAGACGCAACAAGGACATCCATCAAGCACGAATAGTTGTATCTCTGCGCCGTTTTCCGCTCGCGTTGTTTCCTCACTCCATCCACATATTGTGTTTGTTCTATCGGTCTTATCGTCGTCCCTCCGACGTGAGGGCATATTTCAATTCTTATATGAGCCTTTTTCTCCATATAACTCCATGCTCTTCACGGCTGCCATGGAATTAGAGATACTCCTGTACTGTTGTGCCAAGGAGGAACGGCGTATGAACATGCGAGAGTTGCTAACTCTCAGAAAATAGTTATTTTTGAAGAAATTTTGAATATTTTTCCTTGACATTTTCAGAAACTTTAGGTAAAATTGCGAACAAAATTATCTGAAAAAATTGGAAGTATAGTAAATTAATAATAATAATTGATTAATTAATTAATAATAATTGAAAATATTTACAAATCCAGAAAATTCGTGTTTTACCCAAGAAAATGGAGATGTTGCATGTGTGAGGAATTTGCGATTTGACTGTAGATTCTTACGTAAAAGTTCGCGAGAAACACGATGGTGCCACTGGTTTTCTCTGAAATCAACTCTCAAGCTCAAAAAAGCTCTAAACTGGAGGCCAAAATGAAGGGGATATCCCACGCTATCCTGAGAGTCCACCTCTACATCAAAACGAACTCTCCATGCAAAGATAGGGAGCAAATACATTGACAGGGCTGCCACTTTATTTGGGGACTCCAAAACTGAAAACACGGCAACCTTGCTAATGTATTTGCTCCCTATCTTTGCATGGAGAGTTCGTTTTGATGTAGAGGTGGACTCTCAGGATAGTGTGGGATATCCCCTCTATTTTGTCCTCAGCTTGAGAGCTTTTTCCGAGCTTGAGAGTTAATTTCAGAAAAATAGTGGCACCATCGTGTTTCTCGCGAACTTTTACATAAGAATCAATTAATAGTCAAATTGCAAATTCCTCACACATGCAAAATCTCCATTTGGCAACGCTTGAAGGTTCATACGGCGTTCTTCCTCAGCACGGCAGGGTACGTCAGAGAAGCGACGTTATTTGTATGGTGGTGCTTCAAAGGCTGCGTAAGCAACGCTGGCAACGACTGCTTTTCGGGTATTCTGTGTGATGAGGTTGGCCGCCTTTTTTGGTCCTACGACCCGCATGAAACGATCTATCCCTTACGCTCTCAATTTAGCCACGGTAGCTCTATTCGTCATTTCCCTCGCATGAAAATGAAACTGCATTTAACTGTCGCTAAATTTCTCCTCACTAACTGCGTTTCCACCAGGAGCCTCTCGAGCGATTCCTTCTGAAAATTCTCACGATTATTCCCGGGACCAAAAATTTAATCTGCAGTATCTGCAAAATGTACCGCGTGAAGCAAAAAAAAACCAAGTCTCATCAGCTATTAAAAAATTTCATTGAGAAATTTAATTTTTTACATGCTAACGGTCATGCGGATTTTTGTGCAAATCCCAGTGAATTTTCTGCATAGTACGAAGCTTTCTTAGAATGTTCAAGGAATTCGAATAAACGTTCCCTTGTAAAAAGTTAACATTGCCCAGTTAAATTTGGCAATGGCTGATGTGGTTTGGTTCCTTTCTGCTGAATACGGTCCATTTAATCTACAGTATCTGCAATTTCAAAGGTAAAACGTTCATGACTTCCCCCAAAATTCAGCGTTTCGTCGGAGTCAATTTTGCATTTTTTGAATTTTCACACGGCGACTTTCGTTATAACGACAATTGAATCGGTTTCCGTTAGACGAGCGCAAGTCCAAAATCTCATGAGCCCTAGTGTCCTGCGTGATCAACGAAATCCAGGGCTCATAATTTTTCGGCCTTACGCCCGCCCAACGGAACCCGATTCAATTTTGTTTTAGTTGCATTCGCTTCCGACGCCCGAGGAATCCAGTCACCAACCCGCGGATCCAGTCGCGGAAAATTCGAGCACGATATTTTTCGACGCAAGGCCGTACATCGCTTTCCACTTGAGCCATGTTTTATATACAAATCCATGATTTCTGGAGCTCACGTAGGAATTGAGATACGCCCTTACGTCAGAGGGGCGAAGTTTCGAGCCATAACCTCCAGCAACACGCGAGACGGGTTGCGGGTTGCGGCGCGCATCAACCGAGAGCGGCTCCCCGAGATATGATCGTGCTCCCCGCTCGGCGCGGGGCGGGGGGGGGGGGGGGGGGGGGGGGGGGGCTGGACTTGGAGGACCGAGGAAGGTCTGCCGGGCGGCCCAAGAGATCTCGGAACTGAACGTCCGNGCGAAGCGGCTTACGCTACGTTCCGCAACTTACGTAGTTTACGTTACGCACTATGTTACGTCGCTGCGTTACGGCTCGGTCGACGCGCCTGCTCCTTGACTGCTCGTCGCGAACCGAGCTCGGAAGCCCTCGTCCGTAACGTTTCGGTTTCGGATGTTTTATTTTTAGTGGGGAAAAATAGTTTTCAACCCTTATTGCTCTTAGGCACGATTTTTCCTGGAGATAGTCGTTTAAAATCAACCGAGAGGAAATTTAATTGCGTCACGTTTCAACCCTTATATTTTGCGGTGAAAATAATAGTTTTCAACCTTATTGCTGTTAAGGATGCCCCATTTTTGCCTAATGAATGGTGGTTACGCGAAATCAATCAAAAATAAATTTCCTCGTTAAATTCTGGATAGTTCTCTTGCGTTTCAACCCTTACAGTTTTGAGCTAAAAAAAAGTGTTTAACACCTACTGCTGTTTCATTTTCGGCATGAATTGTGGCTGCGTTCGGACGAGATCAATTGGAAGGAGGTTTTGCTAGTGAAATTCTGACTAGTTCTCTTGCGTTTCAACCCATATAGTGTTGGAGCAAAAAAAAGTGTTCTCTTGCGTTTCAACTCCTATAGTGTTGGAGCAAAAAAAAGTTTTTAACCCTTGCTGCTGTTAAGGAGGTTCCATATTCGTTATGAATTGTGGTCACGTTTGGACGAAATCAATTGGAAGGAGGTTTTGCTAGATACATACTGACTGGTTTTGGCGCGTGGACTTGTTTGTGACGTCACGGAGGTGTTTTTTATTTCGAAAAAATTGAAAAAAATAAAATAAATTAAAAATACCGAAAAGTTATGAGGAGCGTTGGGTGCCCGACCCAGATATTGCTCTGATGCGTTGTGGTTCCGTTTTGTGCGGTTGATGGAGGGCGAGGGGTCCGGAGTTTTTGTGGTTCCGCATTCGCTCGGGCCGGACGGATGTTTTCCGAGTGAAAATAGTGCGGTTGAAAAATGACGTTTCTGACAAGTGATTTGTATCACGTGCCGTCCGTTCGAAAAGTCTAATCGCGTTTCCTCCTCCGCGGAAAATTGATTCGTTCCCGCGAGTGCGAAGCTTTTTCATCTCCGCCAGTACATCTCCTGCTTACGATTATGTTATTCCAGAATTCGCCCCGTCCCGGCGTGGTAGAATGTTGATATCCGAATTCGGTCGGTTTTACCGAGTGGGTAAACTCGAGAGGCATTTTACCCGTGTGTGAGTGAAATAATAACGCAGGTTTACTATTCTTGTGATAAAATGATTCGATGGGCAAAACTGGATTAAGTGGCCCCTTTTCCTCCGAGAATACTAACGTGTCTGAGGATTTTAAGAAAGCATTCTAAAAGACAGGTAATATTCATTCTTTTGTGTTCCTTATACATGGTAGTTTTTACTGTTCACAAAATGTAATGAACTAGTAATGAGGCTTCATTAAGAAACGTAGTAAAAAGGCATTTCCCTCCAGAAGCTTACAGAAATTAGTGTAATAATTCCAACTGTCCTGCTGGTTGATTTTGGCGGCAGGCAGACATGGTTGAATCAGCCAGAAATGCGTTTGAATCAACCATACCTCTGGTTGCGGCAACCACATCTCCGGCGGGCGCCAAAACCAGCCAGAAATGTAGTTGAAATCACCGTACCTATTTTTGTGAGGTCTAATCTCTAAACTCAACTATTGAAATTGGAATTACATCCCAAGATATATAATTTTTGGAATGTTTTACGTATAGACTCCCCTCTCATGTGAAACATCCGTTGGCTGGCCACGCTGGCCTAGTGGTCGGCGCGTCTGACTCTAGGTCAATAGGTCCCGGGCTCAAATCCCGGTAGTGGCGTTGAATTTTCACGGAGCTGACAAGTGGATCTGACAAAACAGATTCTACTCGGCCTTCATCCCTGAAAATTTGAAAACACCTGGAGCATGGATGTGCCAATCTCTTGATGTCTATAGACAATGATATACCGTCCACAGATAGATTTAGGTCCTAAAGGAATATTGGACAATAAACCAGCAGGAAAAAAAGCTTCCATCGCTCGTTCCTTGCCGTTAAAGACAATTTGGTAGAACATTGTAACCGTCAAAAAAGTAGAGGGATGGAATCCGTTAAAGATTTGCTTATCCTGCCTCACCTTGCGAAGAGAATAAAAGGTAAGGAGTCGTTGCAAGTTACCTTCGGAAGTCAGAAACTTAGGGCTTTTATGGAGAAAGCGTAAAAACGAAGGCAAGGGATTAAAAGAAGGGTGGCATTTTGAGCATTAAGGCATTAACCCTCGCGTGAAAGAGGAGAAAGCTCAATGAAATGGGGTAAATTCAGAGCCAGACAGTGGGTCAAGAGAGGGTGAAAAAAAGCTTATTCTGAGAGGCTGGAAAGAGGATTATTCATGAGGAATAATCGTGAGAGATAAACACTTGAAAGGAATCTCGGGGAAACGTCATTATTTGAGGGAAGAGGATACCGTTCCTTGATTTGTTGTATGATGTTTAAAATAACATCGATGCCCCATTTAAAGCGTTTAATTAAGTTTACGATTTCTTGAAGTTCATAATTCCTTTGGTAAATTAGTAGCGATGCGATTGTAAATAGTAAATTCGACATTTTCCTCACGAAAAAACGGAACTATATTTTAATGTTGCCAAATTTCCCCTCGCAAATTGCACTGTTCCGAGGAGAATCTTGGGTTTTTTTTTGTTGACGATTTCACTGATTTTCTCTCTGATCTTATGTTAAAATCAGAATAATTTTGAGCAAATATTGCTCCTGTATTTTCCTGTAAAAAATCAGATTGTTCGAGCCAATTTGGCAACCATAGAATGGAGTTATGTTACTTTTGGGCGAGAAACGACGAGTTACCTGTTCCAAATCAGCATGAGGTGTTTTTCATTGTAGCAGGAAGCTTTGGGAGGATATTTGGATTGCATTTTGCAGAAAGGAACCACGAGCATTCTAATGTTACTGGGATTGTGCGACTTACATTCTTTGCAAAAAATTACTAGGGTCTTGCAAAAAGTTAAATTTACAAAGGTGATTTTTGTCTTAAATTCATAATTTAATGGGAAGAAAGGTAAAACGTGTGCAGATGATCAACTTATATTTGTAAGGTGAAATAAGCTGCACAATTTTAGCGACATTGAAATACTCTTGATTCCCTTTTCCAAAATGTAATCCATGTAAAGAAACAGTGAATGAAGGGAAGGAGAGTCGGCTGAGCCTTAATGTGTTTCAAACAGTGTTATAACGGCACTTCTCTCTATTTTTAAATGATTTTGTCGCACCCACCAAGATCCCCAAAAATTAGATTTCTCACACTCTGGTCCATCGAGACTTGAGACCCAGCCTGCAATAAGGCACGAGAGAGAAATGAAATGAGCTCAAAAAGTCCTACTTGAAAAGTTGATTCTTATTAGATTAACCGCGTGACACATCTCAAGTGTGAAGTTAAACAAGGCTGGTGGGCCACTGCTGGGTATGGAGTTATGCAGGACTCGAGGTCGATCAGTCATGACGTCATTTAGAGAAAAATCACCCTTTTAAGAAAATTGCACGAGCCTTGGAGATTTTTAATCATGGACCAGGGCAATTATAAGGAGTCAGATCGCAACATAAATCAAGGTCGCAAAAATGCTAAAAATCGACCTTGAGAGGAAGACTAAATTTAGTATACTTCAGAGTCACCTTACACGTGTCTCATGAGATTAAAATGTCTTAAATGTCTGTGCCTAATTGTCCTAATAAAATAACCAAGACATAACGAAAGTGAACTGCAAGAATACGTATCTTATTTGCGGTGTTGCCAAATCTTCGCTCTCATTTTATTTTATCAAAAGAAAACAAACCAATGCTTTTGATTGAAATGTTTACGAAATATTTTTCACGCTGAAAGGAAAAAAAGGGAATAAACGGAAGAAATCTTTGCCTGAATTAAAAAAAGATGAGGCCACCTTTAATTTTTTTCCACTCTTTCTTTCTCTCTTCCTCCATCCTTCCCCGTCCCTTTTTTAATGTATGTATACTCATCTTATATTAGCTTTTGGATATTCAATGCATGTGTGGTGGTGCACCAATAAGAGAATTCAATGCACGAATTGACGCTGGTGGTAAGTTATGACAAAAAAGCTATGCTTTTAAACCCAGCCAGTGATTCATGTTGCTCCAGTGGGAAAGATTCAAAATACTATCACTGATAGAAACCCGTCATGCCACTTAAATTATCCTCCAGCAGCGACCGCTGAGCCATCAAAATCCCCTAACATTGACGAAGTAGGCAAGAGCGGATACTCTCGAGCATGTTTAGTGGTATCAGGAAATATACGAGATTTGTTGGAGTGTGTTCGACCAAACTCTGGGAAAACAAGCGCTCATATCCGTCCGCGGAAGAACATAACTTTAAATATCATTTTGAATGTTGCCTCTTGTCTCTTCAGTTGTATACCTTGCACATTTTATTTATTTATTTATTTATTTTTTTTTTTTTGTCAATTGGTAAAAAAAATCCCTTAGGAAAAAAGGACAAGGCACTCGCACAAGTCATACAATTTAAAAAGCTGATGTAATCTTCTTTGCAACGCACAAATCAGGCTGATCGTGTCAGAGATCGTGTCATATTGAGATGGAAGTATACCATAGAAGAAATGCACAAAACCAAGTTTCATATATTCCCCCTTTTACTCATGTATTTCCGCGTTCGACCTACGCGAAAATGTTGGTAAGGAAACGGATGTTTCAAAGGGAAGCGATGATGAAGGACGGTTGAAGGCGCTCGATTCCGTAGCCATTAACTCTTATTTCTTATTGGGAAAGTCGTGCCTTAATTTAAGAGTGTCCCCGGACTATGTTCTGATTTCGTTTTTCATCCGAGGTTCCTTCCGAAAAGGAGAACAAACAAGTTTTCCCGATGGATAATTAATTTCAAAGTCTACATAAAGCTCGAGAGAAGACAGTTATTGTTCCTTGGAATCTTTTAGTCTGGAAAATACTGCTTTGTCGGTTGTAGTTTATGCGTTCTTTTTCCGCCATTTTCTCCTGGTGTTTCCTCCCTTTTTTCTGTTCTTTGCTCCCCCAATTTCCGGCTGACACCCGTAAAACCACACCAATTTAATAGCTCATGGATTTGGTCCCAGAATTTTGCTTGTCTTCCGAAGCGAAACCCTGTGTGCACACAAATATTTATTCAGTGCGGAACCTGTTTTCGCCATAAAGCTGTCGCATTATTAAAAGATTAAGGGGGGGGGGGTTGTCCCGATGTCCCGTGTAACCAATACGAAAGAGTTGTTTAAAATAAATTGAATTGCTCATTTTTCCATCAAGGTCAAGCACTGCTATATTTCTTCCCTTTTAGGCAGACATGCAGGATAAAATAATCAGAGAAAAAACTGCATATATCAAGTGTGCGCAATTTTTCTATTTATTCTGCCCCGGTGGAACGACGGTGCTGTATTTTTCGGACTCCGCTGCATGCAGAGAGCGCTTCCCTCATGAAATTCTCATCCCTCATCTTATCCGCCCGTTTTCGGGGAAGAGTTTCAGTGAAAAACTTTTGCATTACGTCCCACGAGCTGAACCTCGCAGAATATTCGAATCTATCGAAAAGACTTGATTTATGGGAAAGGAAAAGTTCACTGGCGAGGCGTGAATGGTCGATTATCGATTTTTCTCCATGTGAAGCCGTGGTCTTAAAAAATCGATTAGTAAGGTGTTTGCTGCGACTGCTCTATTCATCGATCCTTTTCCATAGGTTTAAATCGTAGATCAATCGATAGATGCAAAGCACGCCACGCCTTTGGAAAAGTTTCCAACAACTGCACGGATAAGTTTCAATAGGTAGCACATCACCGCCATAGAGTGCATAGAGTCGGAATATAATGAAGTGAGGTGAGGGCTTGTTCTGGTCTACGAGTTCCGAGCCCGGCGTGTGCCGAGATTCGGTTATCCTTTCGATACATTTTCGATCCAAAATGGCGATGAAGAGTACTTGGTAATTCATATCCTCTTTCTTTATATCGGATGGCTGGGTCTTAATGTATCGAAAACGATCGAGTTTGTATCGAAAAAGTGACCCAGCGTGATACAGGAGTCACCGAATTCGGGACCTGGAAAAATGCTTGAAACTGGCGTCATCAGCCCTCCCATTTATATTACGACTCTTTGTACTCTATATTCACCGCGGATACCACATGGTGGATCATAATGACTGCATATAGATCTTTTAAATTACATTTCGAATATAGTTGCATAAAGCTCATGCAGTTCATCATTTCGACGCCACCGAGCAGAAATTATCTACCTACATTTACGGTACAGAAAAACATCGTGTTTCGGGATTGAAACACATCATCAGATACGCGTTTTCAT